CTTAGGGGGCTTTAGGGTTTAAGGTTTAGGCTTAAGGTTTAAGGTTTAAGGTTTATAGGTTTAAGGGTTTAGGGGTCTAGGGGTTTAGGGTTTAGGGTCTAGGGGTTTAGGGTTTACGGTTTAGGCTCAGGGTTTAAGGTTTAAGGTTTAAGGGTTTAGGGTTTAGGGGTTTAGGGTTTAGGGTCTAGGGGTTTAGGGTTTAAGGTTTAAGGATGTGTAAGGCCAAGATTTGCATGTTAGGATGTGCTGGAGAAGCTTTGAATTCGGAGTTGAACAGTTGAACAGGTTCTCCGAATGGGACCCAACTTTAAAAGACCGCACAGCCGCCAAAGTACAACAGAAATGCTTTAATCCCGAGCCCCGGGCCTAAACCTACTGTAGAATCTGGAGATTTTTAGAGGAATGCATTGTCGTTCAAGAAACCGAGGCATCGATGACTGCCACATACGACGTCGCGGTTATCCGCACTTGTGCCTCGTACGCAGTGTTTGTTGCAGGGCTCATGCCATCACGGCTTTTGTGAGTTTTTTTGGGTGTGTTGTAAAGTTGTCGGCATTGTAACTACTGGAACTCAGAATCTTCCCTTATAGCCCTTAAACCAAAACCCCAATTCGTAAACCGTAAGTATCTCTCAAAGCCCTGCCCTAAACCCTGGACTCGATACGCCAGCCACGGATCCCAAGGCCTAGCAGAGTACAGGACCTGGCCCAACTGAACAGGCTTGACCACACGGCTGATAACAGGGCGAAGCTGGTGTTGCTTCTTCACCAGCAAACCCAAAACCGAAACCTAAACCCCAAACCCTAAACTCAAGCAAGAGCTAAACCTGGATCCGCTGGCTCCAAGGTGTGGATGCGACAGAGTGTTCAAGAGTCGGGCATGTGACATCATGGACGAGGTGCCTCAGTGTCAGCAACTAGGTTGTTTTGAAGGTTCATGGTTCAGATTTTTGCGGATTCCGAAACCCTAAACCCAACACCCTAAACCGTTATGTTTTGAGAGCTGCTCTGTTTTGAGTTTTACGACACTGCCTTCCTGCAGACCCACCCAATCAGACCCAAGTCCGAATTCCAGACCCCGGTCCAGGCAAAAAAAACCTCTAGCTCCATAGAACCCATGTTGAACCTTTACCCTAAAGCCTGCCTATAGTCTCCACTGTAGTTCCTTTTTTTGGTTTAACCAATTATATATTAAGGATTTTATAAGGTGTCCCCAAAAAGGAACTACAATGGAGACTACAGGTAAACCTTTCGAGGCCCCTGAAGCAGCCCTATTCCGATGAAGGCCTTTTCTGAATTTGCTGAGGAGTTGGTCTGCCTGACCTGTGGAGCGGCCAGAGTGTCAGAACTGCTGGATCTTGTGCGGCAGACCCCATACGGAGGGCCGGCTGGCATCGATCTACGGTGTAAGGGGAATACATTGGGATTGCGGCTCTGGGTGATTCATCTGACGGTAGCTATATGGTGTTTAGGGTTCAAGGGTTTGGGGATTTTGGGCTTAAGGATCTGGGGCTTAGCTGCTCAAGGTTTCACAGTCCAGGCGTTTGGGGGTTCAGGGTTGAGCGCAGGGATTTAGAGTTCGAGGTTTTAAGGTGTTCGGATTCTCGGGCTCTTTTTTCGAGTCTCAAACCAAAAGCCCTGAGTAGCCGAATATGGAACCCACAAAGAAGAGGGTTCTGGCCGTCGTGTGTAATGGGGAAGGGGGGCCGAACAAAAACTTGCAATCATTACTTTATGTGGGTTCACATTAGTCGTTTAGTAGCGTATACTGTATACCTCAAAGCCAAAGCCCCATCACAATGGTTCTTTGAGTTTCGTTGACACCTTTTCAGCATCCAGCCTTCTAAGATAGCAAGAGGGGAACTCCGGAAAGCATAAGTCTCAAGAAGCCTGAACTCTGCACTTGTCTGAGTGTGCAGCGGTCTAGCTTCTAGGGTTTGTGGCCGAAGTCTTTCCGTGTAGGGGAGGGGGAGTACCTTAAAGCTCAGCTTAATACAGGGGCCTAAATAATTACCAATACTATTTTGAGTATAGTATAAGGGGCCCAAAACCCTATTCTAAGTGCTAAGGCCACATTACTTGTTGCCCAAGCCATTGCCGTGGGTTACTTGGGACGTGGGAAGTCACCGGATGCCTCCCCTACAACCCGTGATGATGTCTCCAAACCGTCAAGTAAACTCGTGCAACTACCGTACCTTGAAGCCCCAAACCCTAAAAGTATGAGGAGCCCTGCCTGCTTGTGCGAGAGTGAGAGTCGAAACCCCAAATCCTAAACCCTAAACCCAACACAACAAGCGGTGAGACCCCGCCCGATCCGCGAGAGCCCAAACCCTAAACCCAAGCAGAATGTAACCCTAAACCCAAGCAGAATGTATCCCTAAACCCAAGCAGAATGTATCCCTAAACCCAAGCAGAATGTATCCCTAAACCCAAGCAGGATGTAACCGTAAACCCAACCAGAATGTATCCCTAAACCCAAGCAGAAGGTAACCGTAAACACAGGCAGAATGTAACCCTAAACTCTAAACCCAGGCAGAATGAAAAAGGTTAAGCCTGTTCTGGGCTTGGGCACCCGGCGTCTAAACTAATCAGCCCCAGGGTTCGCCGGAATGCCTATTAAAAATGCGTGCAAGCCTTCTGAAGTTCGAGAAAGAATTGAAGTTCTAGGCTCTTACATAAGTGCTGCCTATAGTCTCCATTGTAGTTCCTGTTTCTTGTTTAACCAGTGATACATTAAGGAGTTTATAAGGTATCCCCCAAAAGGAACTAGAATGGAGGCTACAGGTGAAGTTCATCTGCTGCGAAGGTTCCCCCTGATCCAATCCCCGGAGAAGCGCACGTTATTCGGATACATCGCCACGGCGGTTCTTCGGAGCCATCTCGAGGCAGGAGCTTTGTTTTGGCAAAGCTTTAAGGGCTCAGGCTCAGGGTCGTTATGGTCATACTTTAGTGGGTTTAGGGTTTAGGGTGAGGGTTTAGGGTTTTAGTATTTAGTTGTGTGGAGCTTGGATGGTTATAGGTAGCATTGCAAGACTTCAGAACAGTGCAAGCAAGTGGGGGTTTCCGAAAATAGGGGACCCTAATATAGTACCCTGCATAGTAGGATCCTTGTTATAAGGACCCCTAAATAAGGTACCCCTAATTTTCGGAACCTTCCAAGTGGAGTGAAGGCATGAGGGTTGGGACTGAGGGTGTGCAGACTGCTCTTCAACCTGGTGTCCCCGAATTGGGGGATCGTCTAACAAGGGTACGAACTATTTTGTCGGGTATATGTTTGTGTCGGCTGATGTATTCAGGAGTTCTGTGATTTGGGTCAGTTTGCTTGACGGTTTCGGAGAATTTGTTCCTGTTCTTCAACAGTGCCGCATCATGCGAGCGTTCGGGCTTTCGGGCCGGGGTTTCAGAATTTCAGGAGATGTGCCATCTGTCTTGAGCTCAGCGTTTGCTATGAGACGGCTTCAGGTTGAGTTTTTTGTCGCCGACTCTCTCTAGACGTATATGTACACAGGTACATTCGTACATACATACATACATGCATACATACATACATACCTGAGTACTTACAGGCCTGGCCGCAAACACAGCATACAAGCACAACGCAGCCAACGATCTTATCTTTTCCCACTAATATTAAACGGGAGGGCCGGGAGGGAGGACCCCTCCCCCCAATAAAACCTCGGAGAGTATTTTGTTATTAGGGGGTATGTTTATTTCTACTGCCACTTTTGAGGGCTCCTGCTCTTTCTCCTGCTCTGGCTCTTGCTCCCGCGCTGGCTTTTTTTATGTTTATTTCTACTGCCACTTTTGAGGGCTCCTGCTCTGGCTCTTGCTCCCGCGCTGGCTTTTGCTCCTGCTTCTGCGGCGTCTCTTGCTCCTGCTCTTCCTGTTGCTTCCGCTTTTGCTCCTGCTCCTGCCCTTACTCCCGCTCTTGCTTTTGTTTTGCTCTTGCTGATGCTCGCTCTTTCACTCTTGCTCCTGCTCTTGTTCTAACTCCTGCTCTGGCTTTTGGTCTTGCTCTTACTTTAGAAAACTCCTGGTATGCTTAAAACAAGTTTTAGAGATGGCCCCATAGCGCCCCAGCCCCAGCCCCGCCCCAGCC